CTGGCCTCGTTTAACCAAGACGCGCCTGGACATTGGAATACTCCTTGGATTTGATAGTTTTTTAGGCAACAAGCCCTCAGTTTGCTCTTCCTTTGGTGAATCATTTTCCAATTGACGGCTTACAAATAAGAAAGGCCTTGAAAAATACCAAGTACATTAGAACTTTATGGCTACTGATGCCTAAAACGAGTATAGAAGAGAGCAAATAAATGTCGTGAAAAGATGCTTAGTTAGTAGTTGAAGGAAGTCCAAGGGCAACCCATATTTCAAAGAGCATTAATCAAAATATATGGCACGAAGATCAACAGCATAAATATAAACAGTTTACACATGGTATATTATGTGAATGTCCAAGTCAGCAAACCAATATTAAAGACTAATCTATTAGAAACATGAAGTCACTAAGATCTGAAATTTGAAAATTCAAAAGGCTTTCAAGACCATTATCTTAGATATTATATTTAATTTCTAAATTTTAGGGGGTTTCTTGAAATTTATACTGACATGCATAATATCCCTGTAAGAAAAAAGATCATAGGACTTCAAATTAGAGTATCCTCCTTGCTGCTGTCATAAAGGTTGATAAGCTTGCAGAATTTTTTAAAGAAACAACTGTGAGAAGATGAGAAATAGGGTAAACCAGCAAAGCAGCCAAGGTAATAGTGGTGTATAAGAACATAACTATGCTATACGTAGTGTACAATTGTGGATGATTCTTTTACGTTGAAATATTTCTATGATTCTAACTAATCTATATGGTTAATTAGGCCCATGAAGTAAATTTAATACAACAATTAGATTGTGGGGCGTTGCCGAGAGCTTGAAATATGAAACATAACGCAACAATGATGACAGATACAAACAACTTTGCGAGCGTGAGACATACTAGTTGATATTGCTTCATCCTTGCTTCAAATCTGGACGTCCTGCACTGCGGGCCAGCCTCCTTTCACTGTCGCCCATTCCTCCCTTTGCAGCATAGAAAACAAGGAATCAAGACAAAATAATTACAAGTTGTTTAAGTAGCGCTGCGGTGATGTCATCAAATTTCCCGAGCAGAAAATCAGTGTAGGTCTAGGTTTATATGAGCGGCTCATCCAACTTGACCTCGACCTTCCTTTCTCTCCAGCATCGTAATCGTCTCTGAGACGAGTGAGGCATCACCATTCTTAGCTTCCTGCACAAGAGAAAGAGTTTTAGTGATCGCCTCAAAAAGAAAACACTATTCAACATGAAAATATCAAAAAATAAAGAAGAAGGAAGAAAATGTAAATCCTAATTTAAGGGAATATGAAAAGGCGGTAATGGATGAACCCTAAAACCGTTAAAGTAGAACTTCGGACAGAAATGTACAGCATTTTCTTCTAAAGGAGCAATCTTTACAAATTTGAAAATTACTTCCAAAGAAAATGAAAAGCATAAACGAAAAGTTCCCAAAAATATAAGAAAACAGGAAACTTCTACCGTTATTTTTCTACCCTAAGATCTTCGTTCGCCAAAAGTATCCTTATTTGGAAAGAAAACAAGAACCCTAGAAAGAAATTTACCTCAAAATCCAGCGATCAGCTCCAATCTCAGGCTGGATGTTGAAATTGCTCGATCAAAGACCTGAATACGAACAGGAGAGAAGTGCGAACCAGAACCAAACCCTAATTCGTAGCCTCCACAATTTCGAAAAGCACAATAAGATCCATGTTAGAGCTCTGATCATCTTCTGGCAATCAAGAGGAAACACAAAATCAGAATCAAGCAAAAACAAGGAATTAAGATATGTGGTTAAGGAGACGAACATATTAATGGAAAGTAATACCTAAACTTTTTGGCACGCAGTCGCAAATCTCGAACCCTAAACCTAGAGATGCCTCGAAATGAAATTGAGTTTCTTTTTTATTCTGAAATGAGAGTAAGCGGGAGACTACCACATCACATGCTTTAATTATAGAAGATGGCTTCTAGCGTCGGGACGACGCGACGCGGAGAAAAGAGTACGCGTAAAAGATATTTTGGAAAATATAATATTTGGGACCAAAGCTGCCTAAGCTTTTTTGGGCCGGATAAGTATGCTTGGGGTGTATAATGGGTTTGTCTTCAAAATGTTTCGATTTATTAGGCTCTATTTGGATATCATAGTATTTTACTTGTTTTCATAGTATTTTTGTCAAAAACAAAACACCATACATTTAAAAATGAGAATCATAAACTCTTGGATCAATTTTTACGTGCTTTTGCCTAGTCAATTTGGTATGGATCCCTAACTTTCTGGCTTTCAATAAGAAAATCAACAACAGATCTGGTTTAATTAACATGGTTGTTCAGATATATGCAGAAAAAGTAGAGCGGTATTATACAACAGACTGGGGGGGAGGGGGGGATCTCTAAGATAGACAATTGTCATCAATATGACTGCTTGACACCCTCCGCAATGACAAAGAAATTACCTATATTCAATATTGATAGGCCACCTTCGTAGGTTCGGGAGCTTGAATGGAGCCCTCTATAACCCAAGACGGCGCCTCCCATAGCAGTGAAGTTTGAAGGGTTGGTCTGAAAAAAAGTTTGAAGGGCAAGCAAGCAACCCCTACAAGAAGTAATGCCTTCAGAAAAACACTCACAGTGACCTGTATATCACAGAAAAATTAAATTGCTGATACAATATCACAAGCAAAAAGATCATGCCGCTTTGTCACATGCTGTCTTAAGATGATATCAAGCACTTACAGCGATTCCTAAATGTTTTCAGTAAAATGACCTTTTAAAGCCATTGCAATTGACTGCATTGGAGACACTTTAGCAAAATTCAGCTCAACTTTAAAGGACTTTGTCTGGTAGGGACGCCTCAACTGCTTACGGTGAATCTGGCCGGGCTGTCATTTCCGCCTGGGCTTCCACTGCCAGAAGTTCTACGGAAAAAAGGAAAGCAGAGAAGAAACACAATATAAGCACATAGAATAGTAGTAATTAAGTACAGAAACTATGAACGCCACAAAAAAGCAAAAAAGCACCTATTCTGTGATGCATTACAAAAAAAAACTCTTTTCCCCGTCATATGCAAAATCCTTGTTACCAATCTCACTGTCAAACGTTTGGTGTAGTTTGTCGATAACTGTTGTGTGAACCCCTTACCATCCACAGGCCGATCATCTTCATACTTCAGTTAAACCTGCATATATCAACAGGATAAGGTAGTCAAATATCATTTCAATTAAGTAGACAAAGAAAGGAGAGTCAAGTTTGTACAGGAAAAATAGAAGTGCAAAGCACAGGGCATACACTGCATAAATAGAAGTACTCATCAACATTCCGAATGAAACTTCCAAATGATTATTAGAAGTGGTGTAGGCTGGCCTCGTTTAGCCAAGACGCGCTCATCAACATTCCGAATGAAACTTTCAAATGATTATTAGAAGTGGTATAGCCTGGCCTCGTTTAGCCAAGACGCGCCTGGACATTGGAATACTCCTTGGATTTGATAGTTTTTTAGGCAGCAAGCCCTCAGTTTGCTCTTCCTTTGGGGAATCATTTTCCAATTGACGGCTTACAAATAAGAAAGGCCTTGAAAAATACCAAGTACATTAGAACTTTATGGCTACTGATGCCTAAAACGAGTATAGAAGAGAGCAAATAAATGTCGTGAAAAGATGCTTAGTTAGTAGTTGAAGGTAGTCCAAGGGCAACCCATATTTCAAAGAGCATTAATCAAAATATATGGCACGAAGATCAACAGCATAAATATAAACAGTTTACACATGGTATATTATGTGAATGTCCAAGTCAGCAAACCAATATTAAAGACTAATCTATTAGAAACATGAAGTCATTAAGATCTGAAATTTGAAAATTCAAAAGGCTTTCAAGACCATTATCTTAGATATTTATATTTAATTTCTAAATTTTAGGGGGTTTCTTGAAATTTATACTGACATGCATAATATCCCTGTAAGAAAAAAGATCATAGGACTTCAAATTAGAGTATCCTCCTTGCTGCTGTCATAAAGGTTGATAAGCTTGCAGAATTTTTTAAAGAAACAACTGTGAGAAGATGAGAAATAGGGTAAACCAGCAAAGCAGCCAAGGTAATAGTGGTGTATAAGAACATGACTATTCTATACGTAGTGTACAATTGTGGATGATTCTTTTACGTTGAAATATTTCTATGATTCAAACTAATCTATATGGTTAATTAGGCCCATGAAGTAAATTTAATACAACAATTAGATTGTGGTGCGTTGCCGAGAGCTTGAAATCTGAAACATAAAGCAACAATGATGACAGATACAAACAACTTTGCGAGCGTGAGACATACTAGTTGATATTGCTTCATCCTTGCTTCAAATCTGGACGTCCTGCACTGCGGGCCAGCCTCCTTTCACTGTCGCCCATTCCTCCCTTTGCAGCATAGAAAACAAGGAATCAAGACAAAATAATTACAAGTTGTTTAAGTAGCGCTGCGGTGATGTCATCAAATTTCCCGAGCAGAAAATCAGCGTAGGTCTAGGTTTATATGAGCGGCTCATCCAACTTGACCTCGACCTTCCTTTCTCTCCAGCATCGTAATCGTCTCTGAGACGAGCGAGGCATCACCATTCTTAGCTTCCTGCACAAGAGAAAGAGTTTTAGTGATCGCCTCAAAAAGAAAACACTATTCAACATGAAAATATCAAAAAATAAAGAAGAAGGAAGAAAATGTAAATCCTAATTTAAGGGAATATGAAAAGGCGGTAATGGATGAACCCTAAAACCGTTAAAGTAGAACTTCGGACAGAAATGTACAGCATTTTCTTCTAAAGGAGCAATCTTTACAAATTTGAAAATTACTTCCAAAGAAAATGAAAAGCATAAACGAAAAGTTCCCAAAAATATAAGAAAACAGGAAACTTCTACCGTTATTTTTCTACCCTAAGATCTTCGTTCGCCAAAAGTATCCTTATTTGGAAAGAAAACAAGAACCCTAGAAAGAAATTTACCTCAAAATCCAGCGATCAGCTCCAATCTCAGGCTGGATGTTGAAATTGCTCGATCAAAGACCTGAATACGAACAGGAGAGAAGTGCGAACCAGAACCAAACCCTAATTCGTAGCCTCCACAATTTCGAAAAGCACAATAAGATCCATGTTAGAGCTCTGATCATCTTCTGGCAATCAAGAGGAAACACAAAAGCAGAATCAAGCAAAAACATGGAACTAAGATAAGCAGCTAAGGAGACGAACAAATTAATGGAAAGTAATACCTAAACTTTTTGGCACGCAGTCGCAAATCTCGAACCCTAAACCTAGAGATGCCTCGAAATGAAATTGAGTTTTCTTTTTTATTCTGAAATGAGAGTAAGCGGGACGTGCTTTATAGAAGATGGCTTCTAGCGTCGGGACGACGCGACGCGGAGAAAAGAGTACGCGTAAAAGAGATTTTTAAAAATATAATATTTTGGACCAAAGTGGCCAAGGATTGGGATCCTCTCCTAATGAGAGGCTTCCTAAGATTTCCTAATGAGATTTTAGCATTTGATTTATCAATCAAAGGTCATGCTCTCCTCATGAGGAAAAGTAGGAGGGGGAGGAGAATAAGATCTTGGCCTTTGATTGATAAATCAAAGGTCAATAACTCTTTATTAGGAGATATCAGGAGCACTATTTATTAGGAGATGATCCCAATACATCGGCCAAAGCTTTTTAGGGCCGGATAAGTATGCTTGGGGTGTATAATGGGTTTGTCATCAAAATGTTTCGATTTATTAGTTTTTGAAGTATTTCACTGTTTTACCACCCAAAGAGGACCTAGTTAAGTTGATAAAGTGTCCGAGGAGCTTCCACATGAATTGGACAAATTTTATTTTGGATTATTTTTTGAAATTTATTTAGCATTTTCAATCTATTTTGTGCTTGTTTATTTTCGATATAGTTTCAGCCACCTGGTAGAAAATGGGTCAAAATTGATAAATAAATGCAAAAAACTACGCGACATTGAGAATCTCATGTAGTTTAGCAGAAAATTAGACTACATGGGTTTTCCAATCCCGTGTAGTTTAGAATTAGGCTACTTTTCACGGAATTCACAATCCTATGAAGTTTATAATGAATAAACTACATGGGATTTGACAATCCTGTGTAGTTGGCTACCTGGTTAGCACATTGCCATATAAGTTATATGTCCTACCGAGGGTATTGGTTCGAATCTCAGCCATGTAGTATTGGTTATCATGAGATTCGAACTCAAAACCACTTGAATAATTAAAGTTTATCTTTTTTGGGGGTTAGCCACAAATATTCAACACTATCAAGTAAGAAAATTTATAGAATAACGTTGAACTTTCCTATATAGCGGGACTCGGAGAAGACAAGAAGTGTTGGGACAGCCCTAACAGGACTTAGGACTACTTTAAAAAGAGAAGGCCATGGGTTCAAAGGTGATTTCTACTAGCATTTCCTCCGAGACCCACATAACTTGATTTAGTTTTGTGGGTTGCGTTTATACTGCAGAGATGTTTGCAAATAAGGGTGGAAACAAACCAAATAATTAATAAATAGTTAGGTAATTGTTTGACTAACTATTGTTTATGTTCCATTAGGTTGTTCGTTTAACACTAAACAAATAATGCTATGTATTTGGGTTCATTAACAGATAGACTTTAATCAAATATATATTATTTGTTTGCTCATCAAATATTCATTTAAAAAACGTGGTCGCTTATAAATATATATTATTACACAAATCCACTTATATTTTTACTTAAGTTTTACCTACTAATTTGGAGGGAATTAAAGAATATTCAATCAAGAAGCAAGAATATGTTCCTAGTTTGGATCTCAGACTCTCTAACACTATCTCAGACTCTCTAACACTATCTCCTGTCCTACATGTTCCTAGATTGCACTCTTATTTCTATCAGTAAATTAACGAAGGACCTCCATTGTGTGACTAAATTTTCTTCAAATCTGTGTGTTTTTCAAGCATTGGACTCAGGGAGGATGATTGATAGTGCTAAGTTATGTTTAGGACTCTATCTACTCAAAGACCATGTGTTTTTCAGGCATTGGACTCAGGGAGGATGATTGGTAGTGCTAAGTTATGTTCAGGACTCTATCTACTCAAAGA